GTATTCAGGATTAAAATAGGACACACCGAAGTGGGGTAGCAATTGGTGAGATGTGCTGATTTCAGCTGTGAAGTACTGGGAAATTTAGAGAGAGCACCTCTGGCATGCAGAGCAGACTGTTGTACTGCAGAGATTCTGAGCTGACCTCTTATCAACTTCTCATTTGAATCCTGAAAAGAAGGCTCTAGGTAATTGGCAAGTATCCTTAATTTAATATGCGGCCATAAAAAGGTAAAGTATGATGATTTTTAACATCAGAAGATTAACATTTTACCTTTAAATAAAATATGATTAACTGGTACAGAATTAAAAGTAATAGAACTGAAATATTCAAACTATGACTCTGGTGTCAGATTATGCATCAAGTGTGACAGTTTAAGTACTGAAGTGATTTAAAAATGAGCCAGCTGAAGGATGTATATCCCAAGTATCGAGAATAAAGTGGAATAAAACAATCGCGGCTATCAAAACTTCCTCAAACCCTGCTGGCTGAAGGAACCAGGAAATCAAGAAGTCGTGTTGTTTACAGTGACTGTGTCTTGCCAGTGCCAATGCAGCTGCAGCAAGGGAATAGTCGGTGTGTTGTGACGGCGTCCTAAACTATGATTTTAAGCCTGCCAGATGATGATTATGTTTAAATTTAATTGCCAGGCCAAGACTATTGCTTCTGGATTAATCTACCTCCAGCAAGGTTCAAATATGATTGATCTAGCAATATGTCTTTCGTTTCAGCAGTTTGCAGTCAGTCAGGCTTCTTATTATCCCTGTACAGTTTCATTTCTAGTAGATTGGCACATGTTTTGATAAATGAAACCACATATTTACCATCTGAACTACTTAGTGTTGCTATTTGGAAATCTGAAAATGCCATTCTGAAGGTTTGTCATTTGACTGCTGCGTATTTTAAGTCCCTGTTAGTAAAAATGAATTTTTTTCCCCCTTCTAGTAGTTTTGTAAACTCAGCTTGGAATTTGACAGTAAAGTGGCACCTTGCTGTCATCTGAAGTCCTGTAAATGAAGTTTTTGAGTGCAATTTGGGCATTCAGTACTCCTCTTACAGACATTGTTTTCAACAGATTTGTGCACATTAAGCTATGACACCTTGAAATTGTTCATGAAGCATCAAGATGAGGGGTGGAATATGGCTCATGTTCCAAAATGCCAAAATGTAAGAAATGGTAAGTAAAGTGTACTATGGTCACAATGATTGTCAGGTCTAATTTTGTTTACATCAAGGGAACAGGATACTGAAGTAAGAGGGCGTTGCTTTAATGTAGTTTCTTCAAAGAGAAGAACTTTAGTAATTATGTAAAAATGTGAGCAGAGCTCTTAAAAACCTTCATAGGATGTGAACTCTTCCAGTTACACTGCTCAGATGCTTGTGTGGATTTCTTCATATTTCATTATCTTCAGGGAGAACTTTTGGTTGCTATAGATATTGTTAGTCGCATTGATGAAAGATCCTCATATGCTTTTAAAGATGTTACTGATCATCTCTTAACAGTACAGAATGAGACCCAAGTGAGCACAGCTCTTAACGTCCCGCTGTCACTCCAGGTAACTGGACAGGTCCTGTGAGGCCTTACTGCTCTGTGTCAGTGCAGATAACGGTATTTAACTTGCCAATGCTTTTTACTTTAACCTGTCAATAAATCTATTGAATAAATTTGTCCTATGAGTAGAGGGAAATTAAAACTTAGAAAGATGTTTCTAATTATGAACAGAGAGAAGTTATGGGAGCAAGTAATGTAAACTTACCTTCAGGACAGAGTTTGATTGTGGAAAGGGTTGCATGGTGTTATCTCTGGTAGTGTGAGATTAGATTTGGTTACCTTGAAAAGCCATCTTGGTACACTGCCTTAGGTACATCTGCTGTGGTGCCTGGGGATCTGCGCACAGCCTGTGAATCCTAGTTGATTTTAATGAGCTGTTTATATTGAACTTGTCTCATGTTGGCAAGGTTCATGTTGTGTATTACACTCCTCTTTCTGGAAACAGCCACGAGGCAGTCCTAAGAATTTAACAACTGTATAATTGCATTGTTGTGACTGGACAGTGAATGCATTGGCTCATCTGCAGGGGACAGGTGACCAACAGGAACCTTCTGTCTTTCTTGAACAATCATCATAACATATTTCTGTTCATAAAGCTGTAAATAATCTGCCTTGCTTTACTTGTTACTTCTCTCCACTGTGTCATTTTTTGAAGGATCAGTGTTTTAAAAGATCCTCTTTTTTTTTTTTTTTTGACACCTTGTAATTTCCAAGCTAGAGACAGTCACTGCTAGCTTAAACATGCTTGTTCTTATGCCAACGTTTGGCTTAAATAGATCTTCCTTCTATTTAATGTTTACGGAGAAGGGATTAGAGCAATAGACATTCCCTGTCTCAAAGGGAGAAGAGAGAATGAGGTGAGATGTTTTTCTTTCACTTGGATGCATGTTGTATGAATGATGGGAACTACTTGACTTCTGGATTAGAACAGGCTAGAAATCCTGGTGAGATGTCACAAAGTTGAGAAGAATTGTATGACTGGAAGGTCAGGGAGCTTAGCAAAGTCAGAACAGTAATGTGTACTAATTGGGTTTTGTTTGTTTCTTCTTGCCTAAGGAAGCTATCTTGATATCTTTGCAGAGCTATATAGTGAGACTTCTGGTTGATGTTACAGAAAGTCCCCAAAGGTCAAATTTAAATGCATGTATATGCTACAATTACAGGTTGGTGCTTTCAAGTAACAGAGATGACAGAGCAGACAAATTATGATGTGACTTTAAATGGGCCTTGCGACATCCTCCATGACAAGGGTGTCTTGTCAATTCTCCTTGTTAGGAATCCTGTTTGGTCTCGGTCTGTCGTCAGCCAGGGAGAGTGTGGAACACCACTGCAGGTGCTCTTCTGGAAGTTGTTCAAGGACATCAAGCTGTTGTGAATGGTTTAAATTTGGGGAGAAGAAGAATCATGTAGCTGGATCTGCATTAGCTGTGTAGCTACTGATGTTTCAAATCTGTTAATGGTGCTGCTCACAGCAATGTCAGGATTTACTCCCCAGCATCATCGTTTTTTTGCTTTTAAATACCAGTAATAAAGTAGTGAGAAGTTTAGGATCTTGATCTGCAGCAGATTTATGTTTCATACAATGCATCTAGCGTGTCTCACGTTTGCTTTTCACATTGTGAGTTTTATTCATTGTGCACAAGGAAATAAATGCGTGGCTGAAACCATTCTGCAAGAAAATACAGAAAAATTGGCTATTAATTCTAGGTTGCTAAATGCTGTCCTTGGGTGTTATTTGGACTCAGTCTTTGTCTACATCTATCCCTCTTGGGGATGATTTGCAGCCCTTTCCATTGGTATGCGTGTTTCTCTTTGTAGACACTAAAACAGATTCTTAGCTAATATGTCATAAGAAACATATGAAAGGAAAGTTTTGCAGTTTATCTTATTGAAAGAGTCGTTATTTTCTGCTGCTGCTTGAAAATAGATAAAGTATGGATGACTCTTGCATTGCAGCAGCTTTGCATTGTAGTTCACAGTTTTGACATAAAATTATTGTGGGCACGCTGAATCAGTGGTATTTTGTTTCCGGTAAATCTTTTGGCCTCAAGAGCAACCCACAGTGTGTTTGTGAGCTGTGGTTCATTCTCTTCTCCTCTTGTTGTAGTGCTGCATTGCTTAAGGTGTTCTTCTAGTTTCTTTTTCTTTCGATGTCAAGAATTTTATTTTAATAGGACTTTTGAAATCTGGAGATTTATGGAAGATTAGTAAATCTGCCAGAAGTTGATATTTATAAGACTTACAAAGAATATATGAGGTTATACATAAAATGAGACTCCTCTTCACACTTTGCATCTGCTTGTTAAATGATGTGAAACTTGGAGGAGGGTTTTTCTGTTCCATGAGACAGTATGGTAAGCATAGTCTCAATTTTCCTGGAGGATGACTCTAACAGTCTTTGTAGTGTGTTGCCTGGTGTGGATCTGTATTTCAATGTTAGATGTTTGTTTGAAAGAGTCGTATTGTGTATTTGCTATAGGTCGGTACAGTAAGGTCGATGTGTAAATCACTACATTTGTGTCACTTATCTATATTTTGTATATTTTGGAATTTAACATTTGGTTTATTAAAGTTGGCTCATTGTCATTGGAGTGAAGAAAATTTTTAATTGGAAGTATGGGTGTAAGAGGGGGCAGGAAGTTTCAAGAGACTTCTTTGAAGCCACATAATGCCTTTTCTTGTCACCTTTTTAAGTGAAGACTACAGGAGGAGTTTCTTTGGGAAACTGCATGGATGAGGATAAGCAGTCATCTCCCTTGTAGACTGCAGTAATGCTCTTGTATAACATCAAGAGAATTAGAGGTGACCTCCTGGAGTCTCTGCTCCAGACATTCTGTCAACATCATGCCTCTGGATGTCTGTCTTCAGGACTTTCCGGTATCCCTGCTAAATAATAAATATAAGCTATGACCTATTTACTGTTTCTGCAGTCTGAGCTGTGCCAAACTCATTGCAGAGGTGCGCTGGAGCCCGCTTTGCAGATTCCTCCCCTTCACTCTGGGTACTGATTGCCTTGCCCACCTTGATCCCCGCCGTGTCTATGGTGTGGCACTATCCATGGGCGTGCAGTTGATGTGCTCAGTGGATGCCTTTTGTGCCTGTAACGCAGACATGTCCCGAAGCAGTGCAGTAACCTGTCACAGTACAAATTATGGCTGCGGCACATCGTTCTTCTCTACCTGGAGGCCCCTTCACTGAGCAGACTCACCTGTACATGGATGTGAATACACACAGGATTTCTTTTTTCCTGCTCCCACTTTTTGTCAATCACGTGTTGAATACACAAAGAACTGAAAAACTGCCAGTTAGTACTAGCCTATTAGTATTAGCTATATTTTGCCTATAATTTGGTAAAGTTTGTTATTCCCCTTTGGAATGTGAGTTGTCTTGCTGGATTCTTGCTTATCTCAAGCAGAGTGAGGCTTCTAGAGTTTGGATTTGTGCGTAATGGGCAGTAGTTCTTCCATGCTTGCAAACTTTCATATCAGAACTGTCATCATCAAAACACTTTTTGTTTCTTTAAAGGACTATGTTCATAAACAGGTTTATGTTCGCAAAGCCAATTTGAGAATCTATTGTAATATCAAGCCTAGTGCCAAGGTAAGTGTATGATAACAGGAGAGTAATTCACTTTAACATTTTCATATGTTAAGCTGCCCTGGATGCAAGTTAATAAACCAGATACATGGAGGGGCTGTTGTCACATTGCAAGATGTTTGGTTGTTTTCATGGGCCTGACAGAACTCTGGTACGAAAGGTGCAGAGTGTGGACAGACTCTGTAATGAACTTGCATACCAAATCATCTGTCAGAACCATGGTCAGCTGGGAACAGACTTGCTGACAGACATGAGACTCCTCATATAACCATGTGGTGCTTTATCTTTTATTTAAAACTCAGTTGGCTCCCAGCTCTGTAAGTTTAATAGAGATGTAGTCTCCATTGCCACTGTGTCGGTTTTGCTATGGTTTTATTATGCAGAATGTTGAATGCAGTGTGCCTCGCTCTGCGAAAGGGATGTACTAGGAGTCTTGGAAAACTCAGCAGTGCTAGAAAACAAATTTTGATTGAAATTCATTTAGAGAGTTTCCTACAGTTTTTATGTTCTTGAACCAACAACATTTTGGTGAATTAAACTTGTTATATGCAAAAATTACAGCAGAATTTGTAGTGGTTAGACAGTCTTGATGCAGTGCTAGGAAATTGGTTTTAATTGATCCTAACATTGTACTATGGTGCATCTTGAGTAGAAAAGGAAACAACTTCTAGTATCTTATAGATTATGTTCTTTGACTTTCAGTTATTTCATAGATGTTAGCCTTTTTGCTTATGTAATATTACTTCCTGAGCAGCTGATGAAAATAAAGGCAAGCAATTATTTTTTTCATTTAGAGCAGATCAAAATTTTTATATTTTTATTTTGGGGGGATCGTTAATACTTTAAAATTCAATTTTGTTCCAGTAAAATGTATTTCAAACAAATCTTGAATCTTGCTTTTTGTGATGCCATGTTTTGGTTTTATGTTCTTTCATAACATCGGGAGAGATGCATGTTGTGATATCGCTGTCCTGATGACTGTGCTCTGACATAATGCAAGTGATCTACTTATTTTTTTAAGAAGTGTGTCAGTCTTTCATTGCAACACACATGGTATGTCAATACTGAACGTCAGTCATCCTTTCAGACTTTCAGCTACTGCCATATCATTATGACTTTTTTTTTTTTACAGTGAGCAAAACATGACAATTTTTTTATGTGATGATACAAAATCTCAGCAAGCAGCTGGAACACCTGATGGAAAGTGAAAATATCCTTTTTGAAACAGAGACGATTGCAGGTTGTTTTGGGTTTTTTTGCTCTTTCTGGTAGAAAAGTGTTTTTGACAAGAGGTCGGTGTTATGTTAGAATCATGCATTAGAAAAACAGAACTGAAAGAGATCTTTAAGCATCCTGTTCTTTCCCAACAGAGCATGGATCACAGCCTCCCTTCCTTCCTGGCTTCTAGTTCTTTGCCCAGATAACCTGAACTTGGAGGTTAGATTTTCATTCCAATTTGGATGCTTTGCCATAGCTGTGAGCCTTTCTCTAGGCTAGGAATTTGAATTGTTTCTCACTCAACAAATTAAGCTCTCCAGTGTCCATTGCTGAAAAGCCTTCCAAGCTGTCAGGGGTTTACTCTGTCTTCACCTTAGAGAAAGGCGTTGCCGTTTGGGTACCTATCTCACAGATTTCTGGCAGCGTTCTCAGGAATGATGAAGTTGGGCAGATTTCAAAGGGCCATGACTGTATTGTGGGGAAAGTGATGGGTAGGCTGTTTGATCAGCACGAAGTGCAGTGCCAGTAAACCTTTAACTTAGCTGGCATTAATGCAGCCCGACTGAAATAGCATTTAGAGTTAATGAAGCTAATTTTAACAGTATCTGCAATGCTTTCTGTGTGTGAATATGTGACATTTTACAAGTGCACTGCAAAGACTAAATTGATTCTTAGAAGAATACATTTTTCTAGTCCAGACAAGACCTAATTGATCTTTTTCCTAGATAGCAGACTTAACTTTTTCTTAATTTTCTCTCTTGATTAAAATCCTGAATGGGGGTGAGGTTTCTACTAAATGTCTACTCAAAACAAGCTTAGAGAAAATGGAATGTCAGCCTTAAAAATGTCACTTTAATATGGTCTGACGTGATAAGGTCCTGAAAGTCTCCTAAAGATACACGTGTGAGTATGGAGACTGTATGCTTGCTGTATGTGGAATCCGTGTGTGCAGGAATGTATATTCACAAAATATTGATGACACCGTGCTGGCGAGAGTGCTCAGAATAAGGAGCGCTGACAAAGAAAAGGAGAACTGACTGGCAAACCCAGGATACAGAGGTGGATAAAAGGCAAGGAATATTCAATATGGAAGGTTAAAAAAATTTATTAGACTGCTGGTACAAAGAAGTATATCCACTAATAAAGGGGAAAAAACCCCCAGATTTCTCATAAATTATTTGCTTATTAATATTTAGATTGTATAAGGGAAATAATGCAATTCTCAAATATATTTATGCATTTAGGTGTGAAATGGTAACTGTTTCCTTTTGTATCTGTGTATGTGCCCAAGCACTTGTATTATTCTGACCTTTTTTCATAGTGCTGACTATGTATTTAGTGTAGAAGATATTCTAGTTTTGGTAAGTTGATTTTTGTCTATCCATAAAATTCTGCTGACTTCTCTTTTGTGTCTAAATACTTGACTGATTATTGAATTCCATGCATTTATGAGTACATCAGAAGTCTTATTTAACAATTAGCGTCTGGAAAATCAAGGAAAGGCACATGTCATGCATGTGCCATGTATTTAAATCACACTTTAAAAAAGCCATCTGTTCAACACTTCATTTTTAGGGCGTTCTTTATTTTACAGAGAAGTGTACCCATTAATAAGCAGGATTCAAACCCACTTTGTATACCTATTAGGTATGGTGTTAATTTTATTTTGATGTGTGTGTGTGTGTGTGTGTGTGTGTATTACCAGCTGCCTGAATTTTCGTAACACTGACGATTTGACATAAGCTCCTGAGGGTGACATTTTGCAGGTAGTAAGCAAGCTAGAGTCTGGACAAAGACAATAGAGCTTCACATTTAGCTGTGGACCATAGCCACTCATAAAACTTAGAATTTTTATTTGTGATTGTTTTTCTGCTCCTATATAATTTGAAATCGGGTAACAGTGCTTTGGAATAACCTATAACCTCTCATGTGTTTTAATAATACAAGTTTTTGCAATACTGTCTTACAATTTTTGAATTTATTTTTTTTTGTTCAGAGCAGGCACATTACGGTTACACTTTGCTTATCTGAAACAGTTATCTAAAACAAGATTATGGCAACCAATTATTCTGTGTTTAATGTTGGTGGGCAAATTCCCCAGACCATCTAAACTTGTTTAATATCCCCTTGCAGTGTTTGGACAACGGACTGATGTTATTAGAAACTATGGATCAAAGTTAAATTGAGGGTATAAATCACGTTTAAACCACAGAACAAAATCATGTTGATGTGAAAGTGCAAGTAAGGAAGGGAAACCATAGGATAAAATATTTGCAGATTCTCAGTTGAAGTAGGTGCAGACCAGTTGAGCCCTTCGTGATGGCTGTGGGGCTTGCATGGGTGATGCGTACCATGTTTCCACACAGATAAAGGTTCCTCTGTTACATATGCACTGCACTGACGTGGTGAAGCTCTGGCTTGGTGACTCCATGCTCTTAATGTATCTGGTTGGCAGATAGCTGAACCAGTGCACAGAGTCCTCTACTCTTGCTTCAGACCTGAAAGAGATGTAGAGATACTGTGAGTCATTCAGGTATTCCTACCATAAGGTGAAGTCTTGAGATGCAGTCTAGTCCTGTGGCCCCTGCTGCTACTGTGTGATCTCCTGTAGTGCAGTCTTTCGTAGCAGAAGACACTTGAGAGGATGGTATGGATAGATTGTAGGGGTTTGCATGAGAAACGGCCACTTCTGTTTGTTACATCAAGAGACGAAAAGGGTTTAATGAAATTAAATTTACGCTACTGAGACTTCTGTGAATTTGATCTGTGAAGCTGGGGCTAGAAGAACAGAAAGAAGCCTCAAGGCTTATAAATTTCCATGTTTGCTTCCCTTTCAAGGTAGAATAGATGATGTGGAAGCATTTCTGAATGAGCCCAAAGCTTGCTCTTCCTGAAACGTGCTTTGTGTGTTTTCTGCAGCGGTGGAATATTTTTGTATTCTGTTGGCTGCTAATAAGTAATGTCTGAGTTTCTGCTCACACTAGACTATGAGCTTTTATTTTTAATGTCACTGTCTTGTTTGAGACTCTTTTGGTAAGAGTTTGCACATTTTCAAGCCTACCTAGGCCTAACCACATATTTGAATAAATCCATGAAATGAATTGGGTTGAAAGAGACCTTAAAGCTCAGGCGGCCCCCCCCCCCTGCCATATCTATCTATTCATCCAGTTACAGATGCCTGAAGTTAGATGCATGTAGGTGTTACGAGGATTTTTCTGAACAGCACAGGCCAGGTCCGACCTTGCCAATATGTTTGGTCTGACTGCCCCTGAACAGTGTGGGAAATGTTTAATGCAAAAGCATGGGAGTCGGGTAAAATAGTAAATCCAAGGAGAGCAATGAGAAATTTGAGATAAGGATACTAAGTGTAATTCAAAGCCACACATCTCTTAAAACAATAAAACTTCCCTCACACAGTCTATATATTATTGGATTTTGTGATTTCCAGTTGAACTCTTGGTGCATGTGTGCTGACCTCTGTGCGGAATCTTTTCAGTAATCCATATTGTTATCACTGTGTTGATTTAAAAATCTTAACTCACTGCACACTCTGAGCAACTGGAAGGTAAACAAGCCTTGTTACTTATCTTTACCTTAGACTTTATGTGCAAACTTTAATACCTTATTCATATAAGGTCTGACCTTTTCTACAGTTGCAAACAAGCTTCCAAATAAACCTTGAATTATTAAACTACTCTTTATGTGAATGTAATGCAGCTCTCGTAGTATTTTAGTTTTCTCTAGCTTCCATTCCTGTCTTACAGAAATGCATCCAAATGGCAATTCTATCCTTCATAAGCAAAGTAGCTCTATGTTTTCCTAATTAGGCAAAAAATTCAGAGTCTAACGCTTTTGTCTGAACAGAACTGATATCCTGTAATAAACATTATGGGCATAGAAGAAACTTCCACTCACTTGTTAATAGGCATATAAGGACCTGTTTCAAGTCATATTACAGGACTATCGCTATAATAAAAATCGGGGATTGTCTTCTAACATAATAACATCAATCTTGCGGCAGAAGCTCATGTTGCAGTAACTGCGCCGTTTCTGTTTAATTGTGTGCGTGTGTGAACCACGTATTGTCAGGTTGCAGTGTGTCTGTATTTTTATTTGCATTCTGTTAGCAATTCATGTTAGTAAGGTGAAACTGAGGATCTGTTATGCCAAGCATAACTTTATCTTTCTTTAAAAACATCCATTCTCTGGGCTGGTAGTCAGCTTCATGAATTCCCAAACTTGAGTAGCTGTGGATCACAAATGGGAGTTTGGGTTTTGCAGGGGGAAGGAGAGGAGCTGTAGAGATGAGTAAGTGAGAGTGAGTATGTAGGGATGGGCACACATATTCTGCTTAAAAGCTAAACTTGCTGGAGATTTTTCAAAAAACTTTGGTTGGGGAACAAGAAAAGCCACAACATAACTTGCTATTTTAAGTTTGTCCTTCAGTGCCAGTCTGAATCACATCTGCAGCTCTTTCTGTTGAACAGTGCAAAGGTTTGACTTGTATCATTTCCAATGGTTTTAGAAAGATTTCTGTGCTCTCTGAAAGCACACTGCATTCATTTATGGCTACGCCGTATGTACAGGAATGGAGGTGGCCTTGATTTATACTGCTTTTCGGCATGCACCTCCTTGCTAAGTCGAGGTTCCCAATTTAAGAATTCAGCCAGTCACCTAATTATAAAGCCATATAGGGCAGCAGAAAAATTGTGGTTAGTGTTTCCCAGGTTGCTGTGACTTCGTTAGAGGCCACAGGAGCTGAGATGAACAGATCCTTTTCAGAGAACATTTGAAAGTTTGTGACAGTATTCATGGAGTATGGAGATGTCAACTACAGCTAATGACAGATGTGAGACTGAGCATGAGTAGTTGGTTGGCTGCCTTAATATGCACCAAAATGCCCCAAATTGAGGTTTTGTTGGCAAAACCGC